CACATCAGTTATAATGGTCACATCACATTGCAATGGATTGAATGTTATATCCTCACAAAAATTCATGTTAAATTCCTAAACCTCAATATGATGGCATTAGGAAGAGGGGTCTTTGGAGGTTACTAGGTTATGAGGATGGAGCCCTCATCAATGGAATTAGTGCCCTCACAAAAGAGACACAGAGAGCTGAATAACCCTCTTTCTGTCATGTGAGCACACAAATAGACATCAGAATTGTACATCCCAGAATGAGGCTTTCATCAGACTCCAACCAGGGTTGCTGCCTGTCTCTGACTTCCAGCTTCTAGAACCTGAGAAATACATTTCTGTTGTTATTAAGCCACCTAGTTTGAGGTGTTTTGTTATAGCAACCCAAACTGACTAAGATACCCTCCCATGCTTAAAAATAAATGAATAAAATATACCAGAATTACTGATCATTTTGCACTCACAGGTATGATTTGACCAGAAGAGTTTCAATGTCTAACGTTACCAAGTTTTTCACCCTAAATAACAAAAATAAATTAAACTAATAAAGAACAAGGAGACTCTAGGGCTTTATATGGTTTTTTGGAGAAAGACTGGATTCCATTACACTTCGCATCCTGAACACTCAGCTCCCCAGCCTTTCCCATCCCATTCAGCCCCTTGCTCTCCATGCACCAGACACACCAGCCCTCTTCTAATTCTTTAAAATCATAGCTTGCTTCCTCCCATCTTGGGGCCTACTAACCAAAAGATCTAGCTGCTCCATTCCTTCTCTGCATCTCACTAATGATTAACACACTCATTTTTCAGAGGTTAGATGTTCAATCCACAGGGTCAGGGTTTCCTTTGGCAACTTCTTTTCTTTCCATGTGTTTTAGTTAGCTTTTTTGCTACTGTGACTAAAAGACCTGACAAGAACAACTTTAGAGGAAGAAAGGTTTATTTGGAGGGCTCATGGTTTCAGAGGTCTCAGTCCATAGAAGGTCGGCTCCATTCCCTGGGGTGGAGGTGAGGCAGAACATTATGGCGGAAATGGAGGGCAGTGGCCTACATGAGGATGATCAGAAAGCAGAGAGAGACTCCCAATGACCCACCTCCTCCAGCCACACCCTCTCCACCTTCAGTTACCACTCAATTAAGCCCATGGGGGAATAATTCACTGATTAGGTTAAACCTCTCATAACCCAATTCATTTCACAAATGAGCTTTTGGGGGACACCTTACATCTAAACCATAAAATTATGGGATTGTCTGATAAAGGCTAATTTTGAAAGAAAGTGTCACTTTACTGAATGCGTCACATAGTATTTACCTTTGAGTAGGTAGGGAGCCCTAACTAGTGCCTGCTGACAGTGGCTCCACATTTTCAATCAGATCCTTAAGCAACTGGTGACTCCCTTCACCAGAAAAATGCCTTTGCTGGACAGCCTTGCCTTTTTAGTTATGATTTTTATAAAACAAGTGCACATGCAACCCTGAACATAGTCTACAATACCATTACAGTCAGAATATTAATGTTTAGAGGGTTAATTCCGTTAAATTTGTCAATGAAGAAACTGGCAAACATTAATAAAATCAGATCATGGACTTATTTGCACAATACTTTCTTTCCCTCTGTTCCTTCTAGGGGATCAGAATAAAGCTTCTTTTGATAACAGTGAAATAACAAGGAATTTAGTTTTGCTCTTCAAGTTGATATCCTTTTGTATGCATAACCTCAGAATGAGTATTTCTTTTTCTTTTTCTTTTTTTCAGGTGAAGAAGCAGAAGCACAAGATGTTTTAGACACTTGATCAGTCAACCTCAGAGTCCTTGTCACCTCAGAGCAAGCCTTGTCTCCCAAATCATCTAAATCAATTGCTGTCTGAGCTACAGCCCTTCCCATGATGCTGATGATAAGGAATGACCTTCTGTACTAGGTGCTGAACTGCTGTGCAGAAGAGATGGACTGCATTCCCCATGGGAGCTCCCAGTATTCAGGTACCATTTATCTTAGAGCAGGGAGTGGGTGGAGTAGGGGACTGGGGGAGATGACAGTGTGTGGTCAAGGACAATCAGAAATACCTGCAATGAGAATGTTTTAAGTGAAGAACTTGATTCAGAGAAGTTTAGGGAAGAGAAGATAAGGGGTATCTTCTAGAAAGCTAGTCCCACACATTCTTGGTGCCCATAAAAAAAAAAAGTTAAATTTATGGGACCCTGCTTAATGTCATGAAGGCCTATGCCTACAAGGGATCTCTCTGTCACAGGAAGAAGAATGTAGTCTGCCAAGTTACTATTCAAATACCCCTCATTGGGTGCAGTCAGGAATCACAGGGTCTTTCCAATTACATCTTGAGATGAACTCTAGCTTCAGTGTTGGGAGCCTGCTACCCACAATAGTGGATCACTTGGGAATATCCCGGGGGATTGGCCAGATTGGTCCAGGAGTATAATAAATTAAATCACCAATAACTCATGGTCTCTGTCAGTTTCCTTCCAGGGAGTGATTAATGAACAGCCTATAGTCAGGTTCTGAGATACTTAGTCAATACTCAGTCTATTTTGTGATTCTAGATAAATGGTATACCAATCTGTCTCAAGATTTCAGCTAATTATCAGTCCTCCCAGGGCCCCTACAAGCCACCAACATCACTCCATTATTTATTGAAGTTGAAAAGAGCTAAAGCTGAGCTAAAATCCTCAGTGAATACCATAGGAAAATACAGGGTTGCTGTTCTCAGGGGCTTTGATTCATCTTGTGCTCTTGTAAGTATCTCAAGAACCTCATATGATAAAAATGCTAAAAATAATAACTAACACTAGATGCTAGACACTATTTTTAGTGTTTTACATGTTTTATCTAATGTAATCCTCATAAATCCCTTAATAATAGGGGTAGATGTGATTATTACTGTCTTTACCCAGATAGAGCAATCAAAAGGAAACAACTAAGTTAGGCAATTGCTGAGGAAGACATGGGGCTAGAGCTCAAAACTATGTTTCTGAATCTAAAGACCAGTATTAGTTATTTCCCTAGAATAATCACAGCTAGAATTCAGTAAATATTTCCTACGGGCACTGTGCTAAGTTAGTTTCAATGCATTGTTTTACTTAATGCTCATGACAGTGATTATGATCTTGTAATACTTTTGAAAATGTTTCTATTTGCTTCTTCTGAAATACCAGTTTTTTGTTTGTTTGTTTGTTTGTTTTGTTTGGGAATGGGTTTTGATTTTTTAACTCTATGAAGAAGGAAACCGAGGCTTAGAGAGGCATGAACGTTTTCCAGGTTTAAGAAAAAGACTTAATCTTTGATCAGTTTTCTCCAAGGCCTAAATCTCACATATTGGTATCCTGTTATTGCTTCGAGAAAAAGAAGTGACTTCAAATAATATCCTAGACAAATATTGCTCAAGCAGAAACCATAGCACTGCCATTGATGTAGGCCTTTATGATTAGCACCTGAGTTTCATGTAAGTCTAAGTGTAGTATGTTAGGTTGTAACTGTCAAAACGGAAGTTCAAAATATAAGGGGCTCCTAGGGAGTCCTCCACTTAATAATTCATTGACCTACATTATCAATAATTCACTTAACAAACTAGCATGATGGTATGTGCCACCTTCACAGAGACAAAGTTGAATGTGACTCCCTCTCTCCCAGAAATCAGAGTGGAAATTCATTTTTTTGTGAAATTAATTTTTTTTCTAAGAATTTTCTGCTTAGTCTGTGGATGAGCTGGTGGTGGAATGGTGTCCATTTGAAGGGGTGGGCCTTCTGATCCTGGTTGACAAACTTGCCCTCCAGCAGACCTCTTTCCTGATTTCTCACCTTCCTTTCCCTAAACTCGGGTGAAAAGTAGAATGTGCCTTTCTCAAGTGACATATCACCAAACCCTTGGCCCTAATGGGGAAGTCAGTTCTGCAGGAACTTTTCCAGTCATGAATAAACAGAGTTTGTGTCACAACCTGAAAGCTGTGATCCCTAAACTGCACACAGGATCCTGGCATGGAAATTCAGTTGGAAAATGATCAAGTCAGGCTGTGTGTGTGCTAGTGTACACCTGTAAATCCTAGTTATTAGGGAGGCTGAGGTAGGAGGATCACCAGTTTAAGGCCAGCCTGGATAATTTAGTGAGACCCTGTCTCAAAAGAGGTGTGTGTGGGGGGGTGCTGGATATGTAGCTCAGTGGTAAAGCACCCCTGGGTTTCATCCCCAGTACCATAAAAAATGAAAAAGGAGGAGGAGAAGGAGAAGGAGGAAGGTGAGGGAGAGGAAGAGAAGAAGAGGAGGAGGAGGTAGAATTATTATTATTACTATTACTAGTAGTAGTAGTAGTAGTGGTGGTGGTGGTGGTGGTGATCAAGTCTAACTTCCAGACAAAAGAAGTGATTGGTTCTAGGCAAGCAGCTGGTGAGATTGATGAGGAAGACAAGATCCCTTTATGCAAAGCACCAAACTTCTATTTAAAGTCTGGGGCAGTGGAATGACCCCGAAGAATTGATCTGGAGGTTCAATGTATGGTATACTAAGGTACCAATAGCACTTTAAGGATGATGCAAATAGTAGGTTGCAAGGTTGTCCCTGCATTAGGCAGTAAAATTCATTCTTCTGATTCTTTCTGGCTCTGAATAGCCCAGACAACAAGAAATGGACGGTGGAAAGCACGGGCTTTAGACTTGGACATCACTTAGGGAAGTTCCTTCTTCTTAGGTTCTATGCAACCTTGAAGATTAATTGTTGCAAACTTCCCAAACAGTGCTCCCAGGAACGCATAAATATGAGAGGCCTTGTGATCCCAGCTCTCTGAACCTGGCAGAAAAGGGGTCAGACAACCGGGCAAAGCGGAAACTCACAGCTCTCCCAGAGGGGACAAAGTCTGGGACACTCCAGCTGTGTCCGGATCTTGGCTTAGTTGGACGCTCTGGGTGGAGGAGCCACCGGCACAGCGGCTACCCAGCGTGTGCCCAACCCTCCCACCGCTGGTCCCGGCTGCCAGGAGGCCGGCCGCTGGCGGGAAGAGGCTGGGAAACCTCAGGGCCAGCCGCGGAGACAGCTGCCGCCTTGTTCCGCAGCCCGGTGGCTTTTCTCTCCCCCACCCCCCACCTTCCCCTCTTTGCAGAGACCAGACATCCCCGCCCTCCCCCACCCCTGCCCCACCTCTCAGGGGATTCTTTCCCTCCCAGCTCTGAAAGCGTTAACCCTGGAGCTTTCCGCGGCCCCGCACCCCACCCCCCACTCCCCACCGCCGGCTCCCGCCCAAGGTTCCTAAAAAGGGAAGGTGCAAAGTTTGGTCCAGGACAAAGAAATGACTGATCAAAGCCAGAGATACTTCCTGTTGCTGGAACGTTATATAAAACGTCACCAACGCAGTGGCTGCGGAGAAGCACCTAGCGCTGCTGGCCCAGCCGCCGCCGCCGCCGCCTCCCAGCGCCTGAGGTTTCCCGGGGACCACAATGAACAAGTGGCTGTGCTGCGCGCTCGTGGTGAGTGCCTGGGCCAGGGGGAGCGGGCGCCGGCCTGGACGCCTGGGGCGGCTACCTGCCACCTGGTCTGCGGACCTCCCAGCCCACGGATGGGGACCCAGCTTAACTTTCTCTCCCAGGAGGGATCTGGGTCAGGTTGGAACAGGAGACCTCTTTCTAGCTGTTTCGTGCTTCCCCTGGGGCTCCTCTTCACCCTGCAAAGTTCCTTAATGGGGAAAGGAGACTATAGATCCATTTGATTTACTTTCTTCATCTCTGCTCTCATGTTGTTCATTATATTTTTGCTTAAGTGTCTTGGTCTTTTTATCATTTAGCAATGCTGTGGCCCCTGAGAGTATTTTTTGTTTGTTTGTTGTAGTGCTGGGGATTGAACCCAGGACCTTGTGCATGTGAGGCAAGCGCTCTACCAACAGTTTTAAAAACTACTATATAGAACACAATTTGGATGCCATGAATATAACACGATACAGCATTAGGCTCACTTTTCTCTCTCTCTCTCTCTCTCTCTCTCTCTCTCTCACACACACACACACACACACACACATACACACACACACACACACACCATTCACTGTGACATTTAATATTTTAATACCTTTATTGTTAAAAAAAGATTATTCTAGTTCTTAACTTTAATATAATGTGGAAAACATTGGTGAAATGTTAAGTGTATGCAAGAATACATTTAAGTAATTGAAATTCAGCACTACCACATAAGGTTAGGAACGATGTTAAATGCTGTTTGGAAAATAAAAGATTCTCTGTAATTTATTTTAGGTTGGGTTTTTGATGGATCATTGTTAAGATCTGTATGTAGGTTATTTTATGACCAAACAGCTATTTCCTTTATGTCAGTAAGAGTGCTGAATATATTAATTTACTAATCAGACATTCATGCAAGGGTAGGAAAATTCATGTATAAGGCACATTTGTGTTTTGGATGTGTTAGAGTAAATGTTTAAACTTCAGCCTCCTACCCACAAAGTGTGAATGGAAGTCTAGGTAGTATTCCACTTAGTTCCTGTGCTAGACAGGCCCAAATAAGTATATATAACAAAGTCATTCAAGAAAAGTGGGACAGGAATTAATGTATGTCAATTATACACATCATCTATACATATAATATATACTATATATAATATATATGTATATAAATTATATATGTATGCTAATACAAATACCCTGGAGAACTTTGTAAAAAATGAACCTTTATAAATATGTAACAAAAAATTGCACAAGTTGTTAAGTGCTAATGAAATTTTCAAATTGAGCAGTTGTGACACAGATCAAGAACTACATTACCAATACTACCTGAAAAGTTTTCTGTCCCCATCCCTGTTACTGCTATGTTTGTGGCCACAAGAATCAATATTCTGATTTGAACAACATATATATATATTGTGCTTATTATTGAACTTTATATTTAAAAAAAATTTGTGTGGTTTTTGCATTTGGCTCCTTTCACTCAAAGTTCTGTAGTGAAGTTCATCATAAGTGTTGGAAGTACGGTAGTTTGTCCATTTTCATCACTGTATAGTGTTCCATTGTATGGATACACAACTAATCACTCCAGGTTCTGGATAGAATATATAACCCTTCTGTAAATGAGGGAGCATTTTTATTATCTCTAACCCTTTTTACTCTGTCATAGAATTTATTAACAATAAACAGATTGTTAATAACTTTTGGAAATTTCTTCTAAATGGTACTACATTTTTTTTTTTAAAGAGAGAGTGAGAGAGGAGAGAGAAGAGAGAGAGAGAATTTTTAATATTTATTTTTTTAGTTCTCGGCGGACACAACATCTTTGTTGGTATGTGGTGCTGAGGATCGAACCCGGGCCGCACGCATGCCAGGCGAGCGTGCTACCGCTTGAGCCACATCCCCAGCCCCGGTACTACATGTTCTTAATAGCAAGCAGAAATATTTGTATTAGTCTATATAGGAAGATAGAGATGTAAGCAGGTAAAACACAATTTTAGGTGTTACAACATTATCTGAAGACAAAATTTGTGTTTTGAACACAGCAAATACTTCAAATAGGAAGGATTTCACTTTACCTTTCTTTAGTGTCTGAGATTGACTTAATTTATAAATAATTAGAAATGGACACTCTGTATTTACACATACAGAGTCTGAATCCCCTTTTGTAAGTAAACACCGAGAGGCAATTCTAGGAATCAGAAGCAATACAGCTACTTGGTCTTGTAGCAACATGCCACCAGGAGGTCAGGACAGATTGAAAAACAGGATGGACACCCTGCTGCCCCCCTACAGCTCAGCGCCTAGTGGAGAAGGCAGATGTAAAGGGGTTACAATGATATGCATGCATTCAAAAAAACACACAGAGTTCCTGCTCTATATTAACAGTAACTTCTAACTTTATGTTCACAGCTAACTATAAGATGATCTAGAACCAAGTGAATATGTAGAACAAAAAGGAAAATAATGCAGGTGGTACTCAGAGGAGGGAGAATCACCTGGAAGGAGGGGTAGGACATTTTCATTGTTGGAGATGAAGTCAGGGCATCCTGAACCCGGCACGTAAAAGAGGCAAAATTGTATGTCAAAGCAGAATTCTAGATTCTTTTCGTGAGAGCAGAGGACATTTCATTTGGCAAGCAGTGAAAGGAAGGAGGGGCATCATCCTGGGCTTTCCTTGAATGCTTGAGTGTAGTTAGGAGAGACCTGCTCTGTAGGATGGAATAGTAATAACACGATGGTATTTCTTTTATGGTTGCCCATGAATTACTTGGTGTCCTAGGAACACACTGGTCTAGGCCTGTGTTTTAACTGGTGGCTGGAACTTCCTACCATGTACTGCCAGAACCACCCACTGCATTTAAAGCTAAGCTCAGAATTAATCCAAGGACACTAGAAGTTGGGATGGAGGGGTGGGAGGTGTAGAGATGATTCTTCTTCAGGCCATCTTCCTTCATCCTAAAGGATAAAGATGGTCTGACCATCTTCCTTTAGAATAAAGCCCTTTGGGGCTTTTGACTTTCTGTTTGTGTTTATTTTGGTTTCTCTTCCCTTCCTCCAGTGGCTGAGTATGTGTATTTGCCTAGCCATTTTTATTTTTTTTAAAGAAAATGAATACTATGCAGTTTCTAGGAGAATCTGACATACTCCACTCCAAACAGTGCTGATCCCCCTCTACTGCAACCTTCCTGGCCTGGGTCACCTAGCAACCTTCAAGGCAGTTCCTAATTTCAATCTGGTCGTTCATTTTACTTTTTAGGCTAAAATCTCAGCTGTCAGATATCATTGGTGGAGAAAGAAAACATTCTGTGTCAAATGTTTTATCCAGTTTGTCCCAGAGGGAGAACTCTGGCAACGTTCACCAAAAGGACAGTGAACACACTCCAAGGTTCTTGCTCTTCTATCCACTAACTCACCTCCTGGGTTTTTCTCTCAAGAACCCTCAGCTCCCTGACTGTGCTCCCTTGGCAGGAGAGTTTTCTGTGAAAAGCATTCTTTTCTTGAGCATCTTATTAACCAATAGCATTCTCTTTAGCCTGCACTCTCTGTTTTTGTAATCACAAATGAATAACTAGCAAAATTAAAAAGAACTGAGGAGTAGACCGAGGAGAAAGAGTAATCTTACAAAAATTGATGTATGCATTTTTCAAGGTCTTGCCTGATGACGAGAGAGTGCCCCAGAGGTCACTGTGATGGAGCAAAGATGACAAAATTATCAGTGTGTTTGTCTGCTTTACCCTGCAGGGCAGTAGTTCTCAATTATATCAGACTCCTTCCCTGCGCTTGTATAATAAATCTTTTGTAACAACCTCCCTGTCTCCTGAAATGAAATTCAGACTACATATATTTGGCTTCCACATATAATTGTTATAAAATCAATATCCTGGCATAACTATACTATAAAAGAGTAATGAAATAAAAGTAATTTATAATAAAATAAGCTTCTCTAGAAGGCATAAAGAAGTTATGATCTGCTGTCATCTTTATGTGGAATTGCCACCAGACACACCACAATGAAGGCTAGGCTGGGCTTGTGTGTCATACTGTGGCTCAACAGTGTGACCAGGGTTGGCTTTGGTGCTGCGATTTTTTTCTAAAATGGTGGACAAATCTTGTTAGAGTTTTAAACATCACAAAGTTCCATCATCTCTCAAATTTTGTGTAGACAAATTCCTGGAAAGTACCGTACGTAGAATAATTATGTAAAAACTACTCTGTGTATAGATAAAATGGAGAGCTCCGATCTAGGCTCAGATAATGACAAGTAGGTTTTTCACTTAGATCATGTATGTCAGTTGTCAGTAGGACATTTGTATGCATGTGGGACATGGGATTGTTCAGGACACCAGCAGCATGTCATAGTGCCCTTAGGGACACCCTTCATGTTCATATTCCCAGAACTTCTCTGAGGTCAACCAAATATGAGCGCTTTACATGCAAAGATTTTTATCTTACTCATCACAGCCCCATGGTCTCCATAGTGCCTGACACAAAGGAGCTATGGTGAGATTTTCTAAAGTATTGGTTAATCCACTGTCAGTTTCCATCAATGTTCCAACAGAATTTAGCTTATTCCCAGTAAACAACAATCTAATATTGGCTTTGATCTCATACTAATAAAAAACTCTTTCTCGCTGACCAATATTTCAAATATTTTTCTTTCAAAATACCTTCATTTTGTTTGTTTATTTTTTCGTGTTGCTGAGGATGAAACCCAGTGCCTCACACGTGCGAGGCAAGTGCTCTACTGCTGAGCCACAACCCCAGTCCTTTAAATATTCTTTTGTGCATTTCTATTATGAAGATTTATATCAGGAGCTTGGATGCAACTCAGTGGTAGAGCTTTTAGATAGCATGCATGAGGCCCTGGATTTGATCTTCAGCACTACTAAAAAAGAAAGAAAAAAAAAAAAAAGAAAAGGTGCATGTCAATACTATGTGAAAGCTCGTACTTAAGCAAGCAACAAAAAATAAGCCACATTCATATGTTGATCCTCAAAAGTGCAACATAAGCTCAA